CACACATCCACATCCACATACGCACACATACATACACATACGCACACATACATCCACATACGCACACATACATCCACATACGCACACACACACATACACACATCCACATACGCACACATACATACACATACGCACACATACATCCACATACGCACACATACACATCCACATACGCACACATATCCACATACGCACACATATCCACATACGCACACCTATACATACATACATACATACATATATACATACATACATATATATATATATATATATATATATATATATATATATATATATATATATATATATATATATATATATATATATATATATATATATATATATATATATATTTATATTCATAATAATGTAACATATAACACAAAAAGGCTTTCATACAGACTGCAGTTTGCGAATTTCACAAAACAAATATTCTGCCTTAAGACGGTACCAGGTAAAACAAGAATTAATTCAGTAGAGCCATTATAAATGAATCCTCATTACATAGATGGTTACAATTCATTTTTTGCTTTACCAATTCCAAGTCTAAAGATATATTGTCTTGCCGATCATTGTGTTCTCAAACAATGACATTCAATTTCTTGTTAGTGTGACAAGGATTGGACGCTTGCGCACTTGTGTGTGTTTGCGTGATTAGGCGAAGGGACGAAATATAATTGCGAGAAAATTTTATTTGTTCTCCCATTTGCCTGCCGCGCTTCTTGTAAGAAGTAAGAGAGAGAGAGAGAGAGAGAGAGAGAGAGAGAGAGAGAGAGAGAGAGAGGCGGTATGTTCGCGTGTAAGTGGCCTCGTTTTCGTGTTAGTGCGAGAAAGAGTATGGGGAGAGAGGGAAGGGAAGACGGGCGTGCGTGCGTGCGTGCGTGAGTGTGTGTGGTGTTTGGCAGTGGGAACAAGGGAGTATGGAGAAGGGGGAGGGGGAGGGAAGGGGATAGGGGTGATTGACAGGGCCTAGCGGTGACCAAGGGAGGGAGGGGGGGTCGATAGGAGGGTAGAGGTGTATAATGACACGTTGGCAGGTAATGATGACAGATGCGACTCATTACCCGGGATGTCATTTCTCCAGTGTGACGAGGCCGCGACGCTCACGCTCGCACTCTCCAACGACCACCCCTTTTACTCCGTGTTTTTTTTTTTTTTTTTTTTTTTTTTTTTTTTTTTTTTTTTGTGTGTGTGTGTGTTTGTTTTTGTTTTGTTTTTGTTTTTGTTAGTCGGTCTGTGTCGATGTATGTATGCATATTTGTGTGTAAAGATATATATATATATATATATATATATATATATATATGTGTGTGTGTGTGTGTGTGTGTGTGTATACATTTATATATATATTTTTTCTGAGTATTCCTTTACTGGGAACGTTTACATTCCATGTTAAGCTTGGTAAAAACTAAATATTAAAGTTGATCAGCGAATGAATGTTTTGTGCGTGTACGTGTGTGTTGGTGCGTGCATGTATGACGCGCTTGCCCTTTTCAAGCAGCTGTCACCACCAGAAGGGCAATTATGGATATGGTGATAGCGTGGGCGGAGGTGTGAAGTTGTTAGGGTTGGCTAATATTATGCATGCCACGCTCCCTTGCCCCCTCACCCCCCATATCCTTTGCCCCCCCCCTTCCCCCTCTCACTTGACCCCTCTCCCCTCTCCCTTTCATTTTTTCTCCCTCCTGGTGTTTCTTTTCATTTTCTTTTTTTCTCTTTCTCTTTCCTTTCTTGTTTTTTCTCTTTCTTTATCCTTTCGCTTGATCTTTCTCTTGTCCTTTCTCTCTCGTTCTTTCCTTTATTTTCGTCTCTTTATATATATATATATATATATATTTTTTTTTTTTTTTTTGCGCTCTTTATCTCTCTCTCTCTGAGCCTCCCCCCCCCATCTCTCTCTCTCTCTATCCATCTATCTGTCTATCTATCTATCTATCTATTTCTTTCTCTTATTCTTTCTTTCTCTTATTCTTTCTTTCTCTCTTTCTTTCTTTCTCTTTTCTTCGCTTTCTCTCTTCTTCTCTCTCACGCACGCACGCTAGCACGCACATAAAAACACGCACACCCGCACACATACGCACACTTATACGCACGCACGCGCCTCCATACGCCTATTATGACCGCATCTCGTAATGGCCTCCGCTTTGGGTTGTCTTCACAACTGTTTGTGTAGAGTACAGCGAGCCCAGCCACATTTCTTGATGATGTTGATGGTGGCGTGCGGCATCGTCAACTGAACAGCAATCACGTCCTTCGTCAAGGAACCAGAAATAGGACAAGGACAGGTCATCACTGAATATCTAATGTACAAAACGAGGTCACTCCTAGGATATATACAGAGCCATACAGCTTTTTGCATCAAGGAGGGGAGCTACTTGCCACCGTGCCGCTAGCTTCGTTTTTATTGGGTCCAAAATGGAAATTGTATTGATTTTGAACCTTATTCCACTGTCAGATTTAATCACAAGAAACTTCCAACGTGGCTGCGTCTACAGTTTTGTTACTAATTAATTAAGAGCCTGAAGGTATGATTATTATGATGCTGATTGGCATATTATAAGGGTTTTCCATCCAGGCAGTTATGTTTGTAGTCATATTGTGCAATCAGTTGCACATGCAAATATAGATCCTATAGCAGAAGTCTTCGAAGGCTTCCCTGTGGAATACTTGCTACAGTAGAAAACAGAGATATCGGACCCTTATACTAAATATAGGGAACAGCTTCAGTGCTACCCTCCCAAGAACTTGAGCAACCTTCATTGTCTGCCAATCGCTTTGCACGGGAGCAGACTGCCATGCTGAACATTTTGGCCTCCCCAGCTTCGCCCCAAGCGGCTGCCGATTCGGGATCTGTGCTGCTGATCGGCCGTTTCTGAAACGGAACTGCCTTTCGTTGAGTACTGAAATTGCGGCAATTGCTCAGTGGTTTCCAACTTCACATCGCTGACATTCCTCCTGGACAATGACCGTCTTCTCCCTTCCCATTTGCCTTGTAGCAGGCCCTGGCGAAAAAGATTTGGCAGAGGAAGTGCTAACTCCTTTGGACACTGCTCCAGGAAGTGTGGGCTGTAGTTATCAGGTTCTGAAGTCTTATTGGTGTCCACATCCTGTAGAAAGGTATGTTCCTCAATACTGGCTTATTTTTATGTTTTGTGTATTACAGGATGTCCGTTCTAGTTGGCTTGGTTGTGTTCGGCAGGAGTCTGGCACCCGAACTTTGGTGGCAGTGACAGCAGATCATTCCTCCTGAAATCAGAATGGTTTATTGTCATCTGCTCAAGAAATCCCTTGTCTGTCTTTTACAGGAAACCACCAAAATGTATAGACTCATTTGACCGCAGCTTCTGGTGGGTTTCTAGTACCCAGCACTGTAGTGCAAAACCCTGGTCTTGCAACATTTCGCTGTAATCTTCCTTATGACGACAGTTTTAAGGATGGGCGACGTATGATCGCTACTTGACCCCAGAAGCTTCCCGGCAGTCAACGGCACACAAAACTACTCTTGTCTCGACTCCCCGCTACCCTATATTGTGGACCACTTATTTTACAAGAGAGTGCATCTTCAGCTGTTCTATAAAAATGTTATCCTGGGAACCGAATGCCCGAACCGCAGATTTTATTTGTAGGTGCAGTATGGTGATCATTTGACTTTACATAACCTGCAGGTCGGTAGGATAACTTGGTTTGTCACAACGGGATTATGAGATGACCCTGGAAGTGTGTGTGATAATTTTGCAGTTAAAAAACTTTTCAAAGCCTCTCTCTCTCTCTCCTCCCTCCCTCCCTCCCTCCCTCCCTCCCTCCCTCCTCCCTCCCTCACTCCTCTCCTCACTCTCTCTCCCTCTCCTCCCTCCTCCCTCTCTCCCTCTCTCCCTCACTCTCTCCTCTCTCCCTCCTCCTCCCTCACTCTCTCTCTCCCTCTCTCCCTCCCTCCCTCACTCACTCTCTCTCCCTCCCTCCCTCACTCACTCTCTCTCCCTCTCCCTCCCTCACTCTCTCTCTCTCTCTCTCTCTCTCTCTCCTCTCTCTCTCTCTCTCTCCCTCCCCCTCCCCCTCCCCCCTCCCCCTCCCCCCCTCACTTCCTCTCCCTCTCTCTCTCTCTCTCTCTCTCTCTCTCTCTCTCTCTCTCTCTCTCTCTCTCTCTCTCTCTCTCTCTCTCTCTCTCTCTCTCTCTCCCCCCCCCCTCTCTCTATCTCTCCCTCCCTCTCTCTCCCCCCCCTCTCTCTCTTTTCTCTCCCCTCCCTCCTCCCCTTCTTCTCTCTCTCTCTCCCTCTCCCCTCCCTTCCCTTCCCTCCCCTCCTCTCTCTCTCTCTCTCTCTCTCTCTCTCTCCTCTCCCTCTCCCTCTCCCACCCCCTCTCTCTCTCTCTCCCTCTCCCTCTCCCTCTCCCCCTCTCTCTCCCTCTCTCATCTCTCTTACTCTCCCTCTCTTTCCTCCTCCTCCTCCTCCTCTCAATTCTGCTCTATACCATGTCCTTTTTTTCTTTTCCTATTACCGTCGAGAATATTCACATGATTATCAACCCTGTATATCATTTTTATCAACAGCATTATTTTTCCATCGTTTGTTGTGAGGGTTTAGGCGATAGATTGTTATAATCGATTTTGAAGGATACTTTGTCTTGGAATGTTGATTCCTAGGTTTGATCTTATTTTCCCCTGTAGTACACGGTTATTAAGAACCAACGTTGTGTGTTACTGCTATTTGTGGTCAAGGCAACGTGTCCGAGTTATAAGAAGTAGATGAGTCATCCTCCATTGCCATTCGAAGTGCGTGCAAGCAGGACTAAACAGACTTGCTTCTTCAAATCTCGTTATTTGTTTCGTGACACGATTCTAGGGCGGCCAGTCTGGTTTGTTTACATTGATCACTTGTCAACGTTTATCCCTGGAGAGATGATCACAAAGCACATACCATGTCCGATTTCTTGGTTGGATGTGATTTGTATTTTTCCTCTTTTTCTCGCGAAATTACATGAGAATCGAATGTGCCATACCTGCT